ACACGTTTGGTGCACAAAAAAAAGCAAAGCGGACGAAGATATATATGGGAGCTATATCTAAATGTTGACCGATTATCTCCAATTTCAATAGGATTCGTCCTTGGACCAAACAAATGATTTGTGCAAAATATCATCTGGATAGGACAATAAATGCGAACTGTACTTTGTTTACAAAAATACATGAACAGTCGGACAGACGTACGGACGGACATGCATATATTGACTCAGAATGTGATTCTATGCAGATCATCAAATGGAACTATGGGTCTATCTCGTTTCCTTTTGCCTGTTACCAACAAATGCACAAAGACATAATACCCTGACCACTTTGTGGTGTAGTGTATAAAAAAGAAAGACAAGTATTTGGGACGAATTTGGCAATTAAAAAAAAAAAAAAAAATAATAAAATAAAATCCGTTGAAAGGTCTCTTAAAATCTTAAAAATACGAAATGTAGCCATTATAGTAGGGTCTATACGACGTGGGCCTGCATTGGTAATTTTTTGTTATAAGTCATTAGAATAACATAGCTAAAATCATCAAAGACCGAATATAGGGAGCACCCATTATATGGGGGCTATACCTAAACGAGGACCTGCACAGACAAATTTCCGTCTTAGACGAACCTCAAATACCAAATGTCAAACAATTCCGGTGAATAATGTCACTAAAAACATCAAAATATCCAATATCTCGAGGAGGATATGGAGGCTATACCAAAACGTGGACTTGCACAGACAATTTTTCTGTCATAAGCTGTAGTATCCACTACGAAATACAAATACCAAACTTGAAACGATCCCGGTGAATAATGTCGCTTAAATCACTAGAATATCGAAAATTGGGATGTACCATTATATGGGGGCTATACCAAAACGTGGACCTACATGACCCATTTTCAATACCAAAAGTCCTGCAGACGTAATATACATTTGAGTAACATTTGATCAACCAACTTCATTTCCTCCGGAAGCTAGAGTGATTTCCACAGACGGACAAACGGACGTACATCCCTAAATCGACATAGAATTTTATGCTGATCAAAAATATATGCAGGGTGAGATAAAAAAAACTGCAACAAAGTCAAACGCCATAATATTTACATTTTTTTTTTAATTTTATAGAATGAAAACAAAAAATGTCGGAAATTGCATCTAATTTTAGAATAATTTTAGACTTGTTCGAATTGGTCACCTTTGACACGAATTATGGCATTTAATTGGCCAATGAAACCGTCACACGCTGCCCGAATGATACTTTGCGGTTTTTTGGTCCATTCACGGCGAAGTGCTTGCTTTCCAAAATACTCCAGTGCTGAACCGATTTTCTCCAAATTTGATGTACTTGCTTCTTGACTGCTCTTGCTCTTTGACAGATATTGGCTATTTGGTGCACAATTAACCTGAAATCGGTTGAAGATATATATGGGAGCTAAATCCGAATCTGAAGCGATCTTGATAAAATTTGACAGAGGTATTTTCGAGCTCTATAAGATATCGGATACCAAATATCATTGCTGTCGAACGCATATTGGGAATGTGATGGACCTAAAAATTGGATGAAACATATATATGGGAGCTATAGCTAAATATAAACCGATTTTCACTAAATTTAATGTACTTGCTTCTCAACTGTATTCGGTCGGATGTGCAAAAATGCCGGCCATTTGGACTTATATTGGCCATTTGGTGCACAATTAACCCGAATTCGGTTGATGATATATGGGAGCTATATACATAGACGGAAGGACGGACTGACATGCATAAATCGACTCTGATTTTATGAAGATCCTCAAAAGAAACTATGGGTCTATCACGCTTCCTTCTCTATATTAGAACAAATGCACAAAGACATAATACTCTTACCACAATGTGGTGTAGGGTATAAAAGTGTAGTAAGTTTAGACCAAATCGGACACTCCTATTGAGAGTTATCAAGAGCTCATACAAGGATCAAGCCGAAAGATACCTAAGATCGAAAACCGCTATTTCGATGCGGCACATTTAGACAAATGACATATGAGCCCCATAGCATAAAAAATGAAAAAAAAAAATAGAGCATAAAAAAATCCGACTCTTGGGGCATATCGATTTTTAGAAAATTTTTCTAAAAATAATTATTTTATATTGACATGAAATTGCCACCTAAGATCGGATATAGTCTGTAGTCAATATCTCAATTATTTTCATGTTAGTTAATTATAAAATCTGAAATTGTTAGAGACAAAGCCGAGTCATTTTAAAGATTAATATTTTTACAATATCCCCATTCAAACAAAGACACCATCACACACACACCCTTTCCGGATTGCCCTTATGTTTCCCTTTTTTTACATTTTACAAGAAACGATGACGTATCAGAAATAGAACATCCTAGACAACTAATAATACCATTTTCCCCTCTTCCGAGAACACATACTATCCCAATAATAATTTAATGCGTTTTTAATAAACCCAAATTGAAAAATCTGTGTCGAAATAGGATACAACTACACATATTTGGGTAACAATAGGTTTCCATTTCTCAATCAGACCTTTGAAATGAAATCACTTCCGTGTGGCAGCAAAAAAAAAAAGACATGATAAGCAAAAAAATCGAAGTTGGAGAATTGAAACTCAAGTGAAATATAATAAAAGATCTGTTGCTTACCTTCTGGGTAGCTTGAGGGGTTGACTTTTCTTGTTTCGCATATTTCTCCAGATGTTCAATGAAAGGATTTGGAAGGCTCCCTTTCATTAAAAAAAATAATATGAATAGTAATGTCATGTGAATGGCTCACCCTATGATTAAACGCTGTGCCAAGGGTGCTTCTTTAAATCTCTGCTCTGTGTGTGTGTGACCTTTGGTGTAAGCATTTTTTCGGGGTGTTTTATTTATACCAAAGTAAATTTTCCCCGGAGATAGTGAAAACATGCTTATTCATGCCGCTGTTGGTACAACACCTGAATTTATGGGTCGTCACAACAAACTGTTGCTACTTCGTTCTTCGCTTGCCACTGTAACCCATTTCAATTGGTTGTCCTCTTTTTTTCCTTCCATGACTCAATACCCACCATTGTTTCTTCTTCCATTTTGTTTTAATTTTTATTTTAAAAAATTCTATTCTATTTCCATTTAGTGCCTGCTACCGAAGAAATGAGAGTTTGATTTGTTTCTGGTTCTCGGTAATTTATTCAAAATAATTTTACACAAAACTTGGAAAGGTTCTTGTCGGTGTTTTTGTTTTGTTTTGTTTCATAATTAACATTCCATTATTCGCATACATTAGACAAAGCAAAGGAGTAGCTGGGGGGATTTCGTATTGGCAATTTGGTATTTTTCCATGGTAATGTAGTCGCTCGCATTCATGCCAAGGCTTTCGAATACTAACCCTTTCTAATTATGTTGAACTTTTTCAAGAATTTCTCGAAGGAAATTTGTGCGAACATTTGATGAATGAAGTAAAACTAATTACAATTTAGTTTCTATTGATTGTTTTAAACTTGTTGTTTTTCCAAAGAAGCTTTGCCTTAATCAATAGGATCCTTGGCTTGTTGTTCCACAAGAGTTTCGGCTCGCTGTTTCATAGAAGTTTTTTTAAAAAAAAGTAAAAAAATCTGTTAGTTCGGCCGGGCCGAACTTTGAACACCCTCCACTATTTGGAACGAATATGGCAAATTTCAAAAAAAAAAAAGTCCTTTAAAAATTCTGTTAAAATCTTAAACTTTTGTTATAGGCTGTAATATCTTTTACAAACTTTAAATACCAAATTTGAAACAATGCCAGTGAATAATGTCGCTTAAATCGCCAAAATACCGAAAATAGGGAGGAACAATTATATGGGGACTATACGAGAACACGGACCTGCACAGACAATTTTCTGCCATAGGCTGTAGTATCCATTACGAACTTCAAATACCGAATTTGAAACAATTGCGATGAATAACGCCGCTAAAACCGTCAAAATACCGAATATCGGGAGGTGCCGTTATATGGGGACCTACATGGCCCATCTTCAATACCAAAAGTCCTGCTGACATAATATAAATTTGGGTTACATTTTATCAGTCTACTTTATTTCGTTCGGAAGCTAGATCGAATTCCACTGACGGACGGATATCGCTAAATCGACATAGAATTTTATGCTGATCAAAAATATATAGACTTTGTGGGGTATATTACGAGGAGTTACAAACGGAATGACAAACTTAATACTATGGTGGAGGGTATAAAATTCGGCTTTCGGATTGTAGTTCCACAGTATTTTCTGATTGTTCCACTCGGTGTTCGGCTCGCTGTACGACCAGAGTTGGAAAAAATTCAATTGTTTCAATAATTACTAAGAAAAGGTCAAAATTCGGGCTGGGTCGACAATAGATATACCGGGCCGAGTTTTGGTTGAATATGAAAAATCTATCAAAATGCTTTTGAATGCATGTAAATAATATAATGAGCTGTCACTGAAATAATTTTAACAGCTGTCGAACGAGTGGCTTAGTGGTTTATATAAAAGTTATGTTTTATTTCACCAGCTAAATATCATTCGATGACCGTACAAATTAGTTGTCCCATGCTCAAGGTACAAAGATCAAATCAAGCTCTATTTTGAAACATTTAACTTTTTCAAATAGTGATTTGAAACGCACATAAAAAAATCGGCACAATACAATAACATTTTGTTATTATTATTACAGTTATTGCCATTATGTTCTCATTAGAGCTTTTTGCGGTATAATATCCTTTATAATTATTTATTTGATGTGTATTCAATGGAATTGCCAATTAAAATCCATTGGGCTTATAAAATTGCTAAACTCCAAGCATATGTATTATAAAGAAATAATAGAATATTTTATTTTAATTCACCCAAAAAAACGCTTAAATGCAACACTTTTCTCTTTATCATTTCAGGCTGTTTGTATTCAAAGGTGACCAACTTAATCCCACCATCAGCCTCCAAACAACTGACTATTTGTGCTTTCATTAACGAAGCACATATGGCCACCCCACAACATACTCTCCCGCTCTCATTGCTATGAGAAAAAGATAAACAGCTGTTGACTAACTCGTGTTTGTGTGTTTATTATCGTTTTCTGTAGTTCCTTTTGTGTTTCTCGCAAGATTCGGTTCGTTGTCGTCGCGTGTGATTATTTTAATTAAATATTCTTGTGTTTTTTCTTTAAATAAAACATTAAAATATACAGTGGAAATTGTGTTAAACAATGTTACGAAAAGTGCCATTAATTGTTATTTTGGGTTCTACCGGTACCGGCAAAACAAAATTATCTTTGGAATTGGCTGAACGTTTTGGTGGCGAAATCATCAGTGCCGATTCAATGCAAGTAAGTGGCTGTAGGTTGAGTAGAATAACAACAAATAGTAAAAACAACGTGCATGTTTGGTTTGTTGCTCTCTGAATGAGAGAAGAGTGGCGAAGCAAAACAAATTTAACAGTGTGGTATACTTGAGTATTTAAATGGATATTTTTGAGTTTTTTTATACCCTCCACTATTGTATGAAAATTTTGAATGAAAAATTATTGACATTTGTAAAAATTGCTGAAAAATGCATATCATTACAACCTCCGATTTGCGTCGTATAAGAAAAACATATAAAGACCCACATATTTTTGATAACACGCTTTAAAAAAAAAAATTGACATATCAATGTTCCCAAGCGTTGTTGCATCTACTTATATTCTTCTACCATGGAGCGTATATTAAGTTTGTCCGTTTTGTCCTCAAAATATACATTTTAGACCCCAAAAAGTATATATATTCTCGATTAACATAAAATTCTATGTCGATGTAGCGATTTCCGTCCGTCCGTTTGTGTGTCTAACTTCCGAACGAAATGAAGTAGGATGATAAAATTTCACATTATGTCTGCAAGACTTTTGATATTTAAAATGGGCCATGTAGGTCCACGTCTTCGTATAGCTCCCATATAATGGTACCTCCCGATATTCGGTACTCTGATGATTTTAGCGACATTATTCACCGGAATTGTTTCAAATTTGGTATTTTAAGTTCGTAATGGATACTACAGCCTATGACAGAAAATTGTCTGTGCAGGTCCACGTCTTCGTATAGCCATCATATAATTGTACCTCCCGATATTCGGTATTTTGAAGGTTTCTGCCAAAATGTCCAACCAAATTGGATGAAACGTGACAATTTGGGTTCTCGGTAGGTCTGTTCTCTCCTTGCAAAAAAAGATCTTTGCAAAAAATTGGTTAAGCCCCCATATATCGGTACTTCCCGATTTTCAATATTTGAAGGTTTCTGCCACAATTTTCAACAAAATTAGCTAAAACTTGACAATTGGGGCTCTTAGTAGGCCTGCTCACTCTCTGTAGAAAACTACAGATCTATTAATTGGTATAGCCCCCATATAAAGGAACCTCCCGATTTTCGGTGTTTTTAAGGTTTCTGCCACAATTTTCAACCGGATCAGCTGAAACTTTACTCTTATGGTTCTCGGTAGGTCTGTTATCTCCCTGCAAAAATTATTCAGATCAGGTTCACAAATTAGTTTAGCCCCCATAGGACGACACCTTCCAATTTTCAATATTTTGAAGGTTTCTGTCACAATTTCTAACCAAATCAATTGAAACTTGACATTTGGGTTTCTTAGGATGTTTGCTCTATCGTTGCAAAAAAAACCTTAGATTCAGGCCCCCGTCTTCGTATAGCCCCCATATAAGGGTTCCTCCCGATTTTCAGTATTTTGAAGGTTTCTGCCACAATTTCCAACCAAATTAGATGAAACTTGACAATTTTGGTTCTCCGTAGGTCTGTTCTCTCCTCGCAAAAAATGAGCAATTTAGGTCCACTATTATATATAAACCCTGATTTCGGTATTTTAAAGATTTCTACCACAATTCCCAATATTAGATGAAACTTGACAATTGGGGTTCTTGGTAGGTCTGTTCTCCCCTTGCAAGAATCCCGTCCATCCATCAAGAAAATAATGTTTTCCTGGAATCAGACTAAAAATTGATACCTTTGGAAAAATATTAAAAAAATCCGGCATTTCTTACTAAACTATGAGTTTTTGCTAAATGAATTCGAAATACATGCATTTATTTTAATAATCCATATTCCACACAACATTCTTTCAATGAAAAATTCCAGATATTTTACAAATTTCTTCGATTTTAAGGCAAAATTTTCATTTCACTCCCCATTTTCGATCTCTAATCACTTTTCCACACATCTCATTACACCGCCTCCTTTTTAATCTCTGTTGGAATTTCCCCCTTAATTGCCACATTTGGTACGGTTATTGCCATAATTGAGGCGAAATAGAACATGGAATAGCCCATCACATGCACAAATTCACTGCGATAACCACGGCATGGTCCACCCCATACCACCGAAGACGTTTGGGCTGCCAATATCGAGATAGCCACACACCCATACAAATAATTATCTTCTCGATAGGCCAATGAACTCAACGACACCACATTAGCCAAAGTGTTAACATATTTAAGAATTTGGGTGCTCTCCTCATCCGTTTCATCGCCGAAAAGTTTTGCAATAAAATCCAAAATAAGCGGTATAATAAATAAGGCATGGGCCATGGCATAGGGTTCACCCATTTGCAGAAAAATTTCTATGTTCATCAAGGACAGCGGTACAATGTCCATTGTTGTGTCCAGGACACTTTTCACTAGACTGCAACGCAGCTCACGACCACCAACCATGCCATAGATACCGAACACAATACCAAATGCCGAGGCCGTAAAGGCATAGGGATGTACATCGGGCAGCATCTCATAGGCTCCGTATGCAGCCATCAGGGCAAGTCCAAAATAGGGAGTTCGTTCTGCTAACCAATGCATGATGATTTTTTTTTCCTCACAAAATACGAATACGGATTCACAATTTGAAACACAAAATTAAAAAAAAAATAATTTTCTTATTTATTTGGAGAATCTAAAACTCAATTTTTTTCAAAATTTACGTGTTGTGAAACGTAAACTGTTTGTATGACAAACTCAATAAACAAGGCAAAAATGTTAATTATTTAATTCGTATCCCAAACCGACCATACAGGGGGGGGTGAAAAAAACTGCAACCAACTTCAGACTGCTGTCATTTCAAAGCCACTCGTCCAACAGCTGTTAAAATTATTCCAGTGACAGCTCATTATTGTTTACGTGATGGAATTTACACGTGATATTGTGATTTCTTTATTTGGCTGGAAAACCACAAGTCGTTAGAGCACTCCAGCATTTGCAAGAACTTACACCGCAACAAAAAGAAGAAAAGATAGTCAAAAGAGCTAAGGAGTTGCTTCGCTTGGCCGAAAGTGGTGAACTGACGAATTTGGTTTTTTCCGATGAGAAAAAAATTCGTTGTCCAGCAGTTTGTAAACAAACAAAATGATCGTGCTTACTTACCAAAGAGGTCAGCTGAAAATGTGCACCTTCGGTTTGCCACCAGAACTCAAGCGCCGGCCATGGTGATGGTGTGGGCCGCCATAACAGCCGATGGTCGCTCTCAGCTCGTATTTATCGACCGTGGCATCAGAATAAATGCCGAATGTTGTCGCGAAAATACTCTGGAGGGTGTATTAAAGCCTTTGACACGCATGCGCCATCCAAGAGGTACCTCGCTTCATTTCCAGCGCACAATGGCCACAAAAATCTCCGGATACCAATCCGTTGGACTATTGTGTCTGTAGTGTTTTGGAGAGCAAAGTTAGCACTGAACAAGTTAAAAAGCAGTAAGTTCAGCCGGGCCGAACTTTGAATACCCTCCACCATTTGGATCGAATTTGGAAATTTTCAAAATGTAAAACCCTTAAAGCATTCTATTAAAATTTTAAAAATACAAAATATACCCGTTATATTGGGGTCTATAGGACGTGGACGTACATAGGCATTGTTTGTCATAAGCCATTACCATATTCAAATTCCAAACATGAAATAAACGGTGAATGTAGCTAAAATCAATAAAATATCGTATATAGGGAGGTACCGTTATATCGAAGCTGTGCGAAGACCTGGACCTGCATAGACAATTTTCTGTCACAGACTGTAGTTCCCATAACGAACTCTAAAATCATCAAAATACTGAATATTGGGAGGTACCGTTATATGGGGGCTATACGAAGACGTGGACCTGCACAAACAATTTTCTGTCTTAGGTTGTAGTATCCATTTCGAACTTCAAATAGCAAATTTGAAACAATTCCGGTTAATAATGCCGCTAAAATCATCAAAATACCGAATATCGGGAGGTACCGTTATATGGGGGCTATAGGAAAACATGGACCATTTACGAACTTAACCTGCCTACTGGAAAAAATAAACATGTGTGCAAAATTTTAGTCACCTATCTAAATTCATTCGAAAGATAGCGTGATTACTACAGACAGACAGACGGTCATCGCTAAATCGACTTAGAATTTTACGCTGATCAAGAATATGTATACTTTGTTGGGTCTGACATGAGTATTTCGAGGAGTTACAAACGGAATGACAAAGTGAATATACCCTCCATGGTATGGTGGAGGGTATAAAAATACCAAAGTGTCGATCACCTCAAGCAAGCGGTTCGCCGGGAATGGGCCAAAAAACCCATGATGGCTTTAGTCCATAAACCGCATAAATCTGTGACTTTTTCTTGATGCATTGGTAGCTTTTGCAATGCTTTTGAGCGAAAAATAAGCTGGGTTGCTGATAGAAAAGTATGCATTGGGTCAACTTTCTCAGAGTACATTCACAAAAAAATTCTACATTGCTGTAGGTCGTTCGGCATTAATTCATGTATTAGTTGTATTTTGAAAGGCTTCACATCCACATTCTTTCGCAAAATTTTCCACGTTGTTGAATGACAGAAGAGAAATGTATCCTAAAAATTGCGCCAAATCTGAGCCTTATGAAAGAGAGCAGTAACCGACTGATTGACTGATCTAGAATCAACGACCAGGTGTTGGGGTTTTGCAAAGTCATAATATAAAGTGGATGATGCATTCTTGTTCTTTTAGGTACATTATTTTCTATGAAAATTTTGACCTTTTGTTGGGGAGGTACTAGAAGTGTGAAGAGTGGTCCTATATATCATCTTCGCACCAGATCTTTCTTTAATAAAACTATTAGGATGTGCGAAATATGAAGACAAGCGCTTTTCTTTTTTTAATTTTGATAAGAGTTATGCCTATTCCAAACTTTTGCTTGGTGAAGTTGTCCGATATTGTCCATTTTCATACCCAACCTAGCACAGTCAAAAATATTGGGATTTGCATAGTTCGCGCAAAATCGAATGACCCTTTCATGTTCTATTCGGTAAATTATATTTTGTGAATATGTTAACTATTTGTGGGGTAGGTGCCAGAAGGAGTGGACCGATATTGCCGTATCAAATAAAATATATTACCTATGTAGCCTTATGACTGAGGTTATTAAAGTGAACCCCAGACTACGTCCAATTTCGGATAACGTTAAAAAATTAAAACGTATTAGCCATCGATGATAGATTCTCATAAATGTTTATCAAAACCTGATGAGCTATTATACCTTGCATCATCTATTTCAAATTTTAAAATTTAATATTTATTATAATTTTCAAATTAGTTTATTAATTACTTATTAATATAAAGACATCATTATGACAACATCTTCAAATGTCACTTTCTAATAATTTATGGAAAATTCCCAAACAAAAAATATAATAATTATATTTTTCCATAGAACTATTTAGTTCACATAGTTTGAATTGAATTAGAAATGAAAACCTGAATAATCCAATCATTTGTTGTTAGATCTGCCATAGACATTATTAATAAAATAAATGTATGAATATTATATTAATTTTATGCTTATGCTAAACACACATAGTTCTAGCTGACTGACAAACTGGCGGGCTGACTGTCGGACAGACTCTAATCCGCAAAAAAAAAAAAAAAAAAACAGCCAACGACCAAAGTCTATTCTAGACTATTGAATTTCCTTTTCTCCTTTTTTCTTTCTTTCTTTATTTATTTTTTTTTTCTGTTCACTATAAATAACGAACGAAATAAAAATGTTATTTAGTGACTGAAATAATATTTAAACAGCCGCTAAAAACAACAGGTTTCTTGGCTTTATTGTTTCCTCCGACCAGGGAACAGATCTTGTTTCCATTTCGAATTTTTATTTTTCGCCAGGCCAATATCAGAGAGATGGGGAGTAGTAGACGCCATCGTCAGCGTCGTCGAAGTCATAACATTTGAATTTCAAACACAAGATCAAACAAATTTTTATGTGTTGAGATACACGACAAATGTGAATTGGAATTTATGCAAATTTTTGTTTCGGTTTTTATTGAATGTATTTTTATACCCTACAACACTATGTGTTGGGGGTATTATAAGTTTGATTGGGCCAGGATTTATGTAACACCTCGAAATATTGGTTTCCCATATAGGAAAGTATATATGGATCTTCCTAGCTCGCCGAGCTGAGTCGATCTAGCTTTGTATGTCCGTCCGTCCGTCTGTCCGTCTGTCCGTCTGTCCGTCTGTCCATGTTAATTTGTAATCACTCTACAGGTCGCAATTATGGCCCGATCTTCACGAAATTTAGAATGGAGGTGGGGCTTAGGTCAGAATAGAACCCTATTTCTTTTGGAGATGATCGCATAATATTTAGGGGTTGAAATGGACCAAATACTGAAAAAATTTCGGATTTTGCAGTAGATATACAGGTCGCAATTATTGACCAATCGACGCGGAATTTCGCATGTATCTAGAGTTTAGGGCGGAGAAGAAGCCTACCAATTTGGGTAGTCATCGGATAATATTTAGCGGGTAAAATTGACCATATCTTTTGGGTTGAAAAAATTCAAAATTTTTCATGAAACCGCGAATATTTTAAATACCGGCGAAATCCTAAAGCCATGACAAGGTTACTTCTGACCTTTACATTGATGTTAACATCCAACAATTTGGATATATAGCGAAATATGTGCGATATATGTCTATAAAAGAAGATATGCTTGAAAGATCTCTTATATGTCGAGAACGGCTGAACGGATTTCGACAGTTCTCATTAATTCAGAATGGCCTCTTGGCGGGAAAGAAAAATCGTCTAAAAAATCGCATAAAAATATCTCTATGAAGATGAAAATATTGATTTTTTAAAATTTTCTCATATTTTTTAAATTTTGTCATATTTTTGGCATATTTTCATTTTGAATTAAACATTTGGTAATATTTCTACAGCTAACAAAACTAAGTAGTTAGGATATCATATACAGATCGCATTTATGGCCCGATCCTTACGAAATTTTGCATGGGCATAAGATGAGGGTCAGAATAGAAGCCTACTCTTTTTGGAGATAATCGCCATATATTTAGGGGTAGAAATGGACCAAAAAACTGCAAAATTGTAAGCAGGTTGTATTTATCAACCGATCCTCACGCACATTTGAATGGGGGTTACCGGACATTGCAAAAGCCAAGCAGTTTTGGATGGCCATCCAAAAATATTCAATGTGGGAAATAGTTTGCCAACTTTTGTAGACAAAATACGAAAATGTCCATTCCAGTGACTTTTTGGAGAATTCACAAATACAGGAAAGACGCACTTCTGACAATTTCGTTAACGCTGATTTCGTTGAAGAATATAGTCAAATGTCTGTATCTCATATAGATGCGTTTCAGTCAAAAAACAATAATAAATGTTAATCTTTTGCCACTTCTGAGAGATTATAGGTCTTTGGGAAATATTGGTTCCAGGTCTAGGAAGACCATTTAAATTAGTTTAAGTTGCCATTATTCGAAAATTAGAGAACGAAACCTGATGGTTTTCTTTTATTATTTGTCACAATATCTTGTGGAATTCTTTCGAGTATCTCGCCTATATAAACTGTATTATAGTGTTGTAGGGTATTCAACGGTCGGCCCCGCTCGACTGTAGCCTTTGCTTACTTGTTTTTTATTTGGTATTCTATTTTTCGGGGTGGGGGGGTTGTAAAGCAACGAAATTGTGG